CAAGGCCACCCACTGCACCAGGCCTGGTCCTTCCGCAAGGACAGCTCAGCCCTGAGGTCCTCAGGGCTCGGGGCACGGACCTACAGGCAGGTCTGCGGCGTCTCCTCCCGCTGGCACACGGATGTTCTGGAGCATCCATGGGGCATCGGGGTAATGCAGCCAGGAGGTGCCCTTCCCTGGCACCCCGGGGACCCGGACACGTGCTCAGGGGGCACACATGGGCACAGAGAGGGGCTTGGCATGGGCACTGGGCTGGGGCAGGGCAGCAGGCATGGCACCAAGCATGGCACCAGAGGGAGGGCAGGCACTCGCCCTCTGGACAGATGGATGAGCTCCTCCATGCCCAGGCAGGGCAGCACATCTTGCTTGTCCTCTGTAGCTCTGATACCACGGTGATGGGCACAAGCCATGTGACTTGCTAAGGTGACAAGGGCACCTGGCTCACAAAGCCACCAGCTTTCACCTGAAGGCTGCCAGCATTGGACAGCCACAACAGGCCGCAGCCCCTCCAGAGCCACCCACCGCTGTCCCTGCAGGGACCCACCACCACCCTTCCCTTCTCCGCACCTGCCTCACCGGGCAGGAAAGCACCGGCACTGCTCGATACAAGGCACAGGGTTTTTATTCACCATCAAAGCAAGCTCTGTCCCCATGCCAGCCTGTCCCTTGCCAAACCCCAGGTAGGGGTAAGCCGGAGAGTCCAGACTGCTGTGCTCCAGCATGGTGCACATTGCCAAATGATGCTGGGATGGGGCCGCGGGGTGCCCGGGTACCCTCAGAAGTGGAGCTGGACGAGGTAGCGGATCCGGCACTGGCTTTCCTGGTAGATGAGGTACTCGCTCTGGCTGAAGGAGGAGTCCTTGTAGGCGGGCATGGGAATGGGCTTGCCCTGGCACACCAGTACTTTCTTGCCATCCAGCAACACCTCCTCATCCTGCGCGGGATCTGGGTGAGAAGACACCCCCCACCACCACATCAAGCCCGAGATCTGGCCTCTCTCCCCCCTGCCCTGTGCCCACCCCAGCCCCACAGACCCCATAACCCCTCCTGCCCCAAACAGGCTCCGCGTCTGTTGTCTGGCCGCGGGCCAGGACGCTGTCATAGCCGGTGGGCGGCTGACACAGAGTGGAGTCATCACAGGTGATGCGGTAGGGCTTGCCCAGGGCGACCTCCGTCAGGAACATGATGCCAACCTTCTTGGACGTGCAGCCCACTGCCATGGGAGAAGGGGATGGGGATGATGGCACCAGCCCAGGCATTCCCATCTGGTTGTGCCCAGGCCACCCCAGCACGCAGGGACCGGCTGCCATGGCAGAGGAGGGGCTCGGCACGCCCACGCCTCTGGTATGTGAAGGCAGCTGGGCTCGCACAGACCCTGCGGTCACCCCGAGCGGCCCTGCCCGTCCCAGGACCCTCACCATAGCAGGCTGACTTGCTGTTCTCAGAGGCGAAGTAGATGCCCTTGCCCACGCGCCCACCTGAGTGGGGCATGATGCGCAGCCCGCTCTTCAGAATGGCCGCAACAACTGCCACGTTGGTGCCGTGCCAAAGCAGGCGCCGGTGCTCCAGGAGGTCATGGGCTTTGAAGCGCTCATCCTGGAGAGATGCAGAGTTAAGGGCTGTCCACTGAGGGAGACATGGGTGCCCAGGCATGGGGGACTGCCACCCAACACCCCCAGCCCAACCCCAATGCCAGGCTGGAAAGACAGGGGAGCGGGTGCCTGTTTGCCCCCAGCCAGCTGGGCCAAAGCCCCAACTAGGTGGAGAAGCACTAATGCAGTCCTGGGGTGCAACTGGAGTTTCCCCACTGCAGGACGGGGATAATCATCTCCTTCTTCTCACCTCGCCATCTCGGTCCACCTGCCAGATGTTGAGGATGCGGAGTTTGTGCCCCGTCTGTGCCACATAGTTTTGGATCAGCTGCCAGGGAGGGAGACAGGAAAGCACTGTCACCACAGGCAGCCATCCCAGCAATGCCCACAGTCCCCTTGGGACAGTGGGGACCTTTGGGGTGCCCACAGGCCTGGTATGGTTGCTCCCCACCGAGGGGCACCATGGCATAAGCAGCACCTGGTATTCTCGGGAAGCCGGGTCCAGCAGGGAAAGCTGGCAGCAGAGCAGGGCATAATCCTGATCCAGCGGATGGACGACTTCCTCCTCCTCTTCCTCCTTCACCTTCTGCGCCTGCAGGCTCTGTGCCACCTCGATGTCGGCCAGCACCTGGCAGACACAGACCGGGGACACCCTCACCACTGCTGCTGGGCAGTGTGCCGGGGAGAGCAGGGCAAGCCCAGCCTCCTGCCAGCACCTCCCTGCCCCACAGGCAGGAGCCCTCCTTGGGGAGGGTTGCCACCCACCAGGTGCCCTGGCATCTCACCAACAGCATGTCCTTCTTGGCACGCAGCAGGTCGGGGGAGTTGATGGGGGGTGGCCGTGCTCGCCCAAAATTATGGGGGATGATGGTGTAGAAGCGGGAGGAGAGGTCCTCCAGGCGGTCGGTTGGGGGGGGCTGCTCCTGCAGTGCCGCCTCCAGCTCCTCCAGTGCCTCGAAGCCCCTCACAATCTGATGTTTGCTCAGCTTCCCCAGTGGCATCTTCTTCACATCTGGCCGGGGGGACAGGGTGCGGGTGAACACATCCACCCCACTTGCCCCACAGCTACTTCCAAAAACCTCCAGCATCACCATGGACACAGGTGGGCACCCAGCTTAGGGGGTCCACAGTCTCACCAGGTGCTGGGCTGTCAGCGGGGATGCTCTAAAATCCACGAGCACCTCTGCCCCATTCATCTCCTCACCTGCATCCCCCGGCTGCAGCCCCCAGACCCTTCCCATGCCACCCATCACCTCTTACTGATATTCATGGTCTGCATGGCATCCCGGAACATGTCGCTGCTGAAGATGAGGGACACCAGGTCCTGCGTGGCTTTGTCCAAGGTGCAGGGCAGCACCCGCTGCTTGCAGACCTTGTCCCCCCATCCACCTGCAGACCCCCAACATCACCATGCCACCTGCGAGCCCGTGGGAGGCTGCATGGGCATGGCACTGGGGTTGCCCGTCTCGATGGGGAGAGCCTGGCCCCCGGGCAGCAGAGCAACGGGCAGGCGCTGCCTCCGCTTTCCACGACCAGTGCCACTCGGATGCCTGTGGTTCTCACTTGGGGTGCCCTCCCACTCCATCTCAACCCATGAGCCCCAAATCTTTGCCCACGAGCTGTTTCAGCTCCCACCCAGACCCCTCCCAAAACCCACC